GGCATGCTTTTTTTCCTAAAGCAACCTGATTGGTAAAATCTTTTTCATTACTCAAAAATAATTTTAATGTGGGTCAAGACAGGCCAAACTTATGTGGCCCACATACATTTTTAACATCTGGGCCAAATACTACATTTGACATCTGACCCAAGTCTTGTGTGTTGCCTTAAAGACGGTGCCACCTCTGCCAAACCCGGGTCATGTTAGGCCCACATGCTGTATGCAATTGACGAATAAATCCCTGCTGTGCCCGCTTTATGCCAAATCTGGGCCAGAATTCTTTGCAACATATAGCTGCAACTGTAGCTGCATTTATCTGAGAATAACTGCACACCTTATATTCATCAGCCAATCAGAATCAAGCATTCAACACACCCAGGTATAACTTCAAGGGTGGGATAAGCTAAATTGGCCGTATAGTGTATGTGTGGGTGAGAATGCAAGAGTGTGTGGGTGTTTCCCAGTAATAGGTTGCACCTGGAAGGGCATCCGCTATGTAAAACATATGCTGGCGGTTCATTGTGGCAATCCCTGAATAATAAAGGGACTAAGCCGAAAAGAAAATGAATATGTACATTTTTTTTTTAAGTATACAATAATATTTACATTAAAAGACAGGATTTTAACTGTTTGAGTATGTTAATTTTTTGGTTGCATTTTGACTTGAAATACCTTTATTATGGAGCCAGATCAGTGTCAAAAATAATACATTTGCAAAAAAAAAAACACGATTCACATTCACAAAATTCAATTCGTAAACTTCAAAAGCACAATTTATAAATACACAAATCCAGTTTGTGAATTAAAAAACATAGTTTTTTCCCCAAATAAATTGGATGTTTACATTTATGAATTGTATTTTGAATACACAAATTGAGTTCTGAATTCATTAAATGGAAATTGGATTTATGAATTTACGAATTAGATTTGCGAATTTACGAATTTTGTTTTGAATTTACGAATTAGATTTGTGAATTCACAAATTGTGTTTTGTGTATTTTTAAATTGTGTTTAGAATTTGTGAATTGTTTTGAATTTACAAATTGTGTTTTGAATTTACGAATTTTGTTTTGAATTTACGAATTAAATTTGTGAATTTACAAATTGTGTTTTGTATATTTATAAATTGTGTTTAGAATTTATGAATTGTTTTGAAGTCATGAATTAAATTTGAGAATTTACAAATTGTGTTTTGAATTTACGAATTGTGTTTTGTGTATTTATAAATTGTGTTTAGAATTTCCGAATTCTTTTGAATTTACAAATTGTGTTTTGAATTTATGAATTTTGTTTTGAATTTACGAATTAAATTTGAGAATTTACAAATTGTGTTTTGTGTATTTATGAATTGTGTTTAGAATTTAGGAATTGTTTTGAATTTATAAATTGGATTTGTGAATTTACGAATTGTGTTTTGTGTATTTATAAATTGTGTTTAGCATTTACGAATTGTTTTGAATTTACAAATTGTGTTTTGAATTTAAGAACTGTGTTTTCTGTATTTATAAGTTGTGTTTAGAATTTAGCAATTGTTTTGAATTTATGAATTGGATTTGCGAATTCACAAATTGTGTTTTCTGTATTTATAAAATCTGTTTAGAATTTACGAATTAGATTTGCGTATTTACAAATTAGATTTGCAAATTTACGAATTGTGTTTTGAGTTTACTGGCTGCATATTTAAGTCAATTCAAAAGGGTTTTTATTGCAATATAGAGACCGTAAAAAAATCTTTAGCTATATCTTTTGTTCAAACTAGATGTTTTGCACAGTTCTAAATCATATTAAAAGATACAGTAACACAAAAACAGTGTTATAACATGAAGTAGCAATAGCAGAACAATATGTCATGCAGTGCTGACACCATTACATCATTTAAAGCCAATAAGCCCCATAATATTTACAATAATGCCAGATCACACACATTGGACAATTAAGAGTATAGTGGTTTAACAATTATGACAATTATAAAACAACAGTTTATTGACGTGGGTAATATGTTTCATATCTGCTACAAACCTCACGTTTAAAAGCATCGAAAGGTAAACTATGCGGTAATATCAGAAAAAAAGAAAGAAATTGAAGCATGGACTGACGTGAGCAAAGGATGACTGTAAAGCAGGGTTGGTGTTACATAAGAGCATTGTATTTTCGTGCGTAGTGTGGCTGCATTGCATCCTCCACAAGCGGGGGATTTTAATCCGATGTGAACGGAGAGGAGGGAGTTGTTGTAGTTTGGATCGCAGTGATGGGGAAAATGATTCATTCGAGTGAACCGTTTGGATCTAAGATTTGCTGAATCGATTCTTTCAAGTCAACGATGAAAGATGCTCCCTATATAGGAACTAGCTTTATGTCTTTGTGTAATGTTCAGTCCATCCACTTCCATTAATTTTTAGCCTAATTTCGGCAGTTTGTATTTTTTATTTTTAATCAAATTAGCCTGTATCTGCTTTGAAGCTTAAAGCTTTGAAGCAGAATGAACCAACAACTTATCCAGTATATGTTTTACACAGCGGATACCCTTCCAGCTGCAATCCAATACTGGGAAACATCCATACACTCTCATTCACACACATACATTACGGAAAATTTAGCTGATACAGTGAATATCTTTACTTTATAAAAGCAAAATGCAAAACAGCAACTGATTTTGGCTATTTCTTTTGTCCTTAAATTGGAATTTTCTGTCGCATATGTGCAAAGTTTGGTCCTAAAAGAAACGAAAAGTATGCTAAATCCTTTATTATAGCCTATGAAAACATTCAGTTGTTTTCCTTCAGTTTAGTCCCCGAAATATTAACCACATCAGAATGAACCGCCAATTACTCCGGCATATTTTACACAGCGAATCCCATGGAAACAGTACATGTGAATTATTCATTTCATTTTCCTTTTACACCAATCTCATATGTAAAAAATGCTTATTGCAATTTTACATATTAACATTTACATTATCACTTACGCTTTGCATATTAATAAAGAATTTCAATAACATGCTTATTAGTTAAAGGGACAGTTCACCCAAAATGAACATTCTGCCATCCTTTCCTGATCCTCTGCATGTTCTAAACCTGTTTGAGTTTCTTTTTCTGTTGAGCACCATTGAAGATATGTTGTACAGGCCACTATAGCGAGCCTATAAAAAGGGCTAGTTCTTTTTTCTCCAAAAATGGACCTTTTTGCAGTCATTCGCGTCATTTTCTATTGATTTATTAGGTTCATATACTGCATTTGTGTGATTTTAAGCTCTATTGTATTTTTTGTTGGATTAGTTTTTTTGAAGAGACACAACGGAAGAATATAAGGAGACAGTTTTTGTTGCTTTTGGATTAAAAGAGTGCTGAATAGTTTCCAAATATTGGTGTAGGTCCATTTTAAATAGATAAAAAAAAAGTTTAGAGCCACTGAACTTTTGCTTGTGAGTATGAAACTTGGCTAATATAGAATACACAAAATAATTATTTACACTTTTTACAAGTTTTCTTTAGAATCGTCAAACAACCCAATGAAAATATCTTTAAAAAAAGGAAAAGTCACTCATAATATAAGATTAAATAAATACCAACAGATCTGACCAGAATCTCTCTGTAGGAGCACTGCCACAACAAATGAATAGAGAACTAATGTTTATTTTTTCCCAATTTCTTTTTAACGGAGAGCAGATTTCTTCAACACATTTCTAATCATAAGAGTTTTAATAACTCGTTTCTAATAACTGATTTATTTTCTCTTTGCCATGATGACAGTAAATAATATTAGACTAGATGACATTTAAAGGCTTAACTAGGTAGGTTAATTAGGGTAACTAGGCAGGTTAGGTTAATTAGGCAAGTTTTTGCATAACAATGGTTTGTTCTGTAGACTATCGAAAAAATATTGCTTAAAGGGGCTAATAATATTGACCTTAAATTTATTTATTTTTTAATCAAAACTGCTTTTATTCTAGCCAAAATAAAACAAATAAGATTTTCTCCAGAAGAGCAAATATTATCAGACATACTGTGAAAATTTTTTTGCTCTGTTAAACATCATTTGGAAAATATTTTAAAAAAGAAAAACAATTAAAAGGGGGGCGAATAATTCTGACTTTAAATGTCTGAAGACAGGTCTTAGTAGGATAACATTTGTGAATTAATTTAAATGTTACTTCTTTTACTTTATTAGTAATCAGACACTAAATTGTGAGGCAAAGTAAATAGTTTCTCACATGGGATATTTTCAACAGTGTTGTTCCAATAAGGTATTGCATAAGGCAGTGGTTCTCAAACTGTGGTACGTGTACCGCTAGTGGTACGCGGGCCTCTTTCTAGTGGTACGCGGAGGAATCAAATATGTCATATGTAAATGCTACATATATTTCAAAATGTATCAAAAATGATTTATATATGAATATGACACATACTAATATTTATTATATTATTATGTAGCCTATATTTCTGAGGTCCAGGCAATATTTCCAGGTGTTGATGAGTTGACTACTACATGTTAATACTTTACATTTTAGTACAGTACTTTTTTAAAAATTTTAAGAACAGTAACCTACCATTTTTTACTTTTAAAAGCACATTTTAATTTAAATGTTGATTTTTTTTCGTTTATTTGTTTGTTTGTTTTTTAAATATAAGCACATTACAGTGTAATGTTCAGACTAATTATGTTTAAAGTGGCTGACAATCATAAATATTCTTAATAATAGCAATTAATCCGACACATCCGACAACTGTTCAGAGCTTTAGCTGCTTTACTTGGCTTATATGCTGCTGTATTTCAATACTGCTCATTCTGGTGGTAAAAATTGAGAACCACTGGCATAAGGCATTGTTATTATCTCCCTCTGGAAGAGGCCTCTAATTTTACTGTTATTTTTCTGTTGGTCTGCTGATAAACACACTCTTCCAACCACTAAAGTTAGCAGTTATTCTTAGCTTAAGTGATTCACGAACGCCTGGCGAATCATTTCATCAACTTAACAAAATCATTCAAAGGAACCGACTCATGCGACTGACTCGTTCGACAAACGGATCTCGCAATTGTTCAGAGAGAGAGAATCAGACAGCAATGAGTCCAGTTTTCTTCACAGTCGGAATAAATCCCAGGCTAAAATATGGACTTCTACGTTGATTCTCCCGCGGTTCTTTCCGGAGGCTGTGAAAAATAGGATATTATCTGTCTCTCTGCTCTCAGTCCGAGTCAACTTTGGCGTCAAAATGGATGCGCTGAGTTTGACGGTGAAGCTTTTCTGGTTGGTGCTCATCGGAGGAGACAGGAGGAGCAGGTGAGAAAGTCCTTCAGTGGGAGCACACACACATGCACATGCACACACACACATACACAATTATGAGAGAAAAAAACATGCTCATTTAGTGAAATCATGCACAATCAAATAGAGATAAACCTTGCATTTGATTTATGAGCGGAATGCATGCATACTCATACATAACAGTTATGGATATATGAGTGAAGCTATTGCATATCTGCCAACGCGAGGTAGAAATTGCGGATCCGTTGTTATAATATGACGATTTTTAACATTGAGCATGTAAGTCAGGCGACAGTTTTAGCTTAATCTATTAATTCTCATGTACATCGTGTCATTTTTTGTCATTTTATAGATGAGGAATGTGTTATTGCGCATGTAAATCAGATGCATAACATATTATAAATGCATATTCTCAACATAGCTTGTAAACGGGGCCGTTTTCCATGTGCACGTCATGGTATTTGGCATTTGCATACAAATAAAATGAAATATCTGTGCATTTTCTGCAGGTTTTAAGCTGTAATGTGTATTCCTTACCCACCAGTCTCTAATGCTTTGCTGTGCAGTTCACAGTTCATTTCACTTGTAGATGAATGTCAGCACAGGGTCTTTTGCCCCCTTGTGTACAGTATCACTGACAGACGATCATGATGCTCTTTTCTTTATTTATTAACTATTTATTTGGAAAACAAATCTCTATAGCTCTAACTATATAAAATCTAAATAAAAAAGCTCTGACATATTCCATATTTCTAGACCTTAAATAATAAAAAATATCAACAAAAAGAAGATATTTTGAAGAATGTAGACATTGACTCCATTGTAGGAAATCAGTTTCCAACATTCCTCAAAATATCTTCGTTTGTGTTCAACAAAAAGAACATCTGGTTCTTATATGCATGATTATTTGATGTCATGGCTTTGCAATCAAAAAATGCCATTATAATGGAAGTCAATGAGGCAAAAACTGTCACTAACGTTATGAAAGGGTAGTCAACTAGTACAATTGAGGTTTATTATTATGGCAAGGCAGGTACAGAGACTTGCTACTTCCAGTATATTTACACACATGCTGCCAAAAGAACACTTGGATTAACTGTGTTGAGTCAAATCTAGCAGGAGTCTACCAAATTCAGAAACTATACTGTTAAAGTCAGAATTATTCGCCCCCTTTGAATTTTCTATTCTTTTTCAAATATTTCCCAAATTATGTTGAACAGATTCAGGATATATATATATATATATATATATATATATATATATATATATATATATATATATATATATATATATATATATATATATATACAGTTGAAGTCAGAATTATTCGCCCCCCTTTGATTTGATTTGTTTTCTTTTTTAAGTATTTCCCAAATTATTTTTAACAGAGCAAGGAAATTTTCACAGTATGTCTGATAATGTTTTTTCTTCTGGAGAAAGTCTTATTTGTTTTATTTCGACTAGAATAAAAGCAGTTTTTAATTTTTTAAACACCATTTTATGGAAAAAATAAAACATTTTTTCCCCAACTGTCTACTGAACAAACCAACGTCATACAATAACTTGCTTAATTACCTATACCTATAAGTACTTGGGCATTTACATCAACAGTTCTTTCACATGGAAAACACACATTGAGTGGGTTTGTTCTCGTTTACACCAGAGATTGTATTTTTTTACGGAGGCTGCGTCTTTTTGAAGTCAACAAGAAGCTCATGGTTTTGAAAGCATTGTTAGATGTGGTATAACAGTGTGGTTTGGTAACCTATCTGTTCAGTGTAAATCTAAATTGATGCATCTCTTAAAGACAGCATGGAAAATTGTCGGGCACGATGAATATTTTAAATCCTCAAGTTTTATATGACAACTGTGTCCTCAATCAGGTGGAAAGGATTGTAAATGATCCAACTCGTTTTTTGTTTCCACATTACGAACTGCTTCCCTCTGGTAGAAGATATAGTGTCCCAAAGTGTAGGTCAAACCGCTATAAGAAATCCTTTGTAGCTGTGTCAGTAAGTTTAATTAACAAGAGTCAATCTTAATTAGCATTATATATTTTGTAATTGTTGTATTTTTATAGTTTTTTATACTTGTTTTAGTGAATGTCTGCAGCAATATGGCAATGCCCATAACAAATCTCCTGTCAAGGACAATAAAGTCTTACTACTACAACTACCCTAACCTGCTTAGTTAATCTAATTACCCTAGTGAAGCCTTTAAATGTCACTTTAAGCTGTATAGAAGTGTCTTGAAGAATATCTATACTAATATTATTTACTGTCATCATGACAAAGATAAAATAAATCAGTTATTAGAGATGAGTTATTAAAACTATTATGATTAGAAATGTACTGAAGAAATCTGCTCTGTTAAACAGAAATTGGGGGAAAAATAAACAGTGGGGCGAATAATTCAGGGGGCTAATAATTCTGACTTTAACTGTATGTATATATATATATAAATAACATTAAAAGAAAATTTATAAAAAGAAAATGTAATAAAAAGAAGTGAGGATTTGCTTGTGTTTCTCCACAGGGCCATGCTGAGTGATATCGGGGATTATGTCGGCACAGATATTGAAATATCCTGGCTGCCAAATCTGGATGACCTCATGAAAGGTTACGCTCGAAACTTTCGTCCAGGGATCGGAGGTGAGGAATTAACCCTCCTGTTGACTTATAGACCAAGACCCATTTTAACAGCAGAAAAAAACTAAACAATGATTTTTTTATCTTGAAGTTTGGTGAATTTTTCTTAAAATGACCCCAAAATTAGAAAAAAGATCTGTAACACTTTAGACTAATGGTCCATTAACTATTTATGATAATAATCTTGTGAAGCATTTAATAAAAGCATTATTAGAATTCAAAGTTGTGCTTGTTAACATTAGTAATGCACAGTTAACATGAATTAACATTATTTAATTTAAATAGCACGCGTCACGTTGACGTTAGTGGTGTAGTAGTTAGTGGTCGACACATGCTCTCCAGTGCTCACGGTGACCCGATTTCGATTCTGCCATGCCCATGCTGATCCTTCCCCTGTCCCCATGCTTTCCTGTCAGTTCTCTCTACATTCCGGTCCAAAAAAGGTGAAAATTTATTATAAAAGGAAAAATAACGGGCATAAGTGGTTAGCACTGTGGCCTTAAAGCAAGAAAGCAACTGGTTCGTGTCCCGACTGGGTCAGTTGGCATTTCTGTGTGGAGTTTTCATGTTCTCCCCGTGTTCGCCTCCTCCGGGTGCTGCAGTTTCCCCCACAGTCCAAACACATGCGCTGTACGGCAATTGAATAAACTGTTCGTAGTGTACGAGTGTGAATGGGTGTGTTTCCCAGCACTGGGTTGCAGCTAGAAGGGTAAAACATATGCTGGAATAGTTGGTGGTTCACCCAGCTGTGGCGACCCCTGATGAATAAAGGGACTGAGCCAAAGGAAAATTAATGTAGAAATGTTATTAAGTCATTCATACATTTTCTTTTCGGCTTAGTGTGGATGCCCTTCCAGCTGCAACCCATCTTTGGGAAACATCCATACACACACACACACACACTCATACACTAAGGACAATAGCTTACCCAATTCACCTGTACCGCATGTGTTTGGACTGTGGGGGAAACCGGAGCACCCGGAGGAAACCCACGCGAACGCAGGGAGAACATGCAAACTCCACACAGAAATGCTAACTGACCCAGCTGAGCTAAGGCTCGAACCAGCGACCATCTTGCTGCAAGGTGACAGCACTACCTACTGCACCACCGCGTCACCGTTACCAATTCATCGTATTCTATATTTTAATAACGGCTGTACACATTTAGGGTACAACGCTTGTCCTTTAGGTTAATTCTCACCAGTCATAAATCCATTTTTACACCACAAAAACTACTGATAAACACGCATGAACGCTCCAACACACACTGTTAAAAGCAATTAGTTGACTTTATTTTAACGATTTATTTAACAAGTTGTCACCGACTCGGTCCCAGTCATTCCCCTCGCTGGCCAGCAGAGGCCGCCATCTCCGGACTTCTAGCATTACATCATCCATCTACGCTGATTGTGCACACACCTGATCTGAATCTAGTTAATGACCCACGTACCTCTTATAAGCCGCACTCAAACACTCAGTCAGTGCGAAGTCTTGTTCAGCCCCGGCCAGCATTACTGAGCGTTATATCCAGCCTGATCCTTTGTGTACGACTCCAGCCTGTTTCCGACTTTGCTTCGCCTTCTGCCTGCCCACGACCCACGCCTGATATATACGGACTCTGATTCTCGCTGCCTGCCCTCGACCCAAGCCTGTTACACGGACTCTGAATCACGCCCATTGCCTTCGACCCATGCCTGGTAAACACTCTGTGTCTGTTCACCGTCATTCCTGAAACCATTACTACTACTGTGGATGTGTGTGTGTGTGCACCCAGGTGCATATTGTGTGTTTGAGTGAGATTGTGATAAATACTGCATAATGGATCCCTCCGTGTCAGTCTCCTCGTTACACAAGTACAATTTGCATAATTATAAACCTTTTAGTCAGGTCAAATGAACAGAATACTGTCTTGCTAAACTATTTACTCTTCTATTTTACTAGCAATAGAAAATACACCCTTCACTGTAGTCAAAAACCAGTGTTGTCTACTAAGCAGAAATACTGCACACTGATGAGGGAAATCCTGCACATTCACAGTCTTTGTGATGAAGATGAGTTCAAATTTTGAGGATTGAAATGAAATGTATCAGCTTTATTGTAGAGGTTTTTAATGCAGACGGCTCATTTCTGACCCGAAGTGTGAGTCAAAATGTACAGAATTAAACGACCACACGAGGGTAAATCTGTATTTCACACCTGCAGCCGCTCTCCACCAGAACAAACCTCTCTCATCACATCTAGTGTTCCTGCCAAAACACTGACCCAGTTTCTGCCGTCTATTTCTAGAGTAAATGAGCACACATATATTCCAATCACATTCTCAAAAAAAGCATATAACGTGTAAAAGGACAGTGCATGTCAGTACCGCCACCCTCATATTCAGCAAAACAGTGTACATACTACTGTATAGTACTCACGTTCTGGAGTGTATAGGTAGGCATCATTCTAAAAGTAGTCTAGTGTTATACCTGTTTACATTTATTTTATTATAAATAATAGTAGTGTATGCGTGAGAATGAGAGTGTATGGGTGTTTCACAGGACTGGGTTACAGCTCATTTACACACACAAACTCATACACTACGACCAATTTAGTTCATTAATTCCCCTATAGCACATGTGTTTGGATTGTGGGGGAAACCAGAGCACCCGGAGGAAAACCAAGCCAACTTGTGGAGAACATGCAAACTCCACACGGAAACGCCAACTGACCCAGCTAGGACTTAAACCAGCGACCTTCTTGCTGTGAGGCCACAGTGCTAACCACTGAGACACCATGTCGCCTATAATACATTTAAATGATTAATTTTTTGTTGATGTGTGTTTTAGGACCGCCTGTGAACGTCGCCATGGCCATTGAAGTGGCCAGTATTGACCACATCTCAGAAGCCAACATGGTAATAAGGGAAAGCTGAATCAATATAAATATAAAACCTGTACACATCACCTTTCCATTGAGGAATGGTTTGTTTTGATTGGACAATATTTTAAATCAGACACAATTATTAAAAATCTGGAAAACTGAGGGTTAAAACAATCTATTAAAGGGGACCTATTATGCAAAAATCACTGTTTTACATATGCCACTATGCTGACACACAGGCGTTTGTAGCTCCGCCCTCTTCTGAAAAGAGCACAATCTTATTTGCATTTAAAGCGACAGTCACCAAAACACCACAGTTAGGATTAAAACCTGAAAGGGTCAGTTTTAGAGAGGTGCAGAACATTATCTGTGTGCTATTTTGAGCTGAAACTTCACTACACACTCTGGAGACACTCTTATTTTACATTGCAAGGGGCATAATAGGTCTCCTTTAAGTTCTTAGCAATGCATATTACTATATACTTACCACATATGGTAACACTTTACAATAAGGTTCATTAGTTAATGCATTTACTAACATGAAATAATCATGAACAACACCTGTACAGCATTTATTAATCATAATTGAACATTTACTAATGCATTATTAACATTCAAGTCCGTGCTTGTTAACATTAGTTAATGCACCATGAGTTAACATGAACTAACAATGAACTACTGTATTTACATTAACTAACGTTTACTAACATGAACAAATACTGTAGTTAGTAAATGTATTGTTCATTGTTTGTTCATATTAGTAAATGCATTAATTAACATTAATTAATAAACCTTATTGTAAAGTGTGACCTGACATATATAGTCAAATCGTCACTGTAATGCAGCGGATTGACACGGATATGTTTGTGTTGAAGGAATACACCATGACAGTGTTTCTGCGTCAGAGCTGGAGAGACGACCGTCTGTCCTACAACCACACGAACAAAACTCTGGGTCTGGACAGCCGCTTCGTGGACAAACTCTGGCTTCCGGACACCTTCATCGTCAACGCCAAGTCCGCCTGGTTTCATGACGTGACGGTGGAGAATAAACTCATACGCCTGCAGCCTGACGGAGTCATTCTCTACAGCAGTCGGTACGCCAGTGTGTGTGTGTTTACAGGAGCTCAGTGTCACAATGTTTCAAATGTTTATTATGCATATCTGGTCGGCGCGATGGCGGGTACTGTCGCCTCTCAGTAAGAAGGTCGCTGGTTCGAGTCTTAGCTGGTCAGCTGGCGTGGAGTTTGCATGTTCTCCCCATGTTGGCGTGGGTTTCCTCTGGGTGTTTCCACCACAGTCCAAACACATGCGCTATAGGGGAATTGATGAACCAAACTGGCCGTAGTTTATGAGTGTGTGTGAACGAGTGTGTATGGGTGTTTCCCATTACTGGGATGCAGCTGGAAGGACATCTGCTGCGTAAAACATATGCTGGATAAGTTGGCGGTTCATTCCTCTGTGGCGACCCCAGATGAATAAAGGGACTAAGCTAAAAAGATAATGAATGAATGAATGAATGAATGAGTTATGCGTATTTCTCTTTCAGAATCACATCTACAGTCGCGTGTGATATGGATCTCACCAAATACCCCATGGATGAGCAGGAATGCATGCTAGACCTTGAAAGCTGTGAGTAAGAAGAAAACACACACAACTGCATCTCTCATTCATTTGACATTTATCAACACACACACATAAAATATATATATACACTCACTGGCCACTTTATTAGGTACACCTTACTTGTACCGGGTTGGACTCTCTTTTGCTCTCAGAACTGCATTAATCCTTCGTGGCAGAGATTCAGCAAGCTACTGGAAATATTCCTCAGAGATTTTGCTCCATATTGGCATGATAGCATCACGCAGTTGCTGCAGATTTGTCGGCTGCACATCCATGATGCCAATCTCCCGTTCCACCACATCCCAAAGCTGCTCTATTGGATTGAGCTCTGGTGACTGTGGAGGCCATTTGAGTACAGTGAACTCATCGTCATGTTCAAGAAACCAGCCTGAGATGACTGAGCTTCATGACATTGATACAAACACATACATAAAAACATGCTTACATGTAAAATATTCCAACATATATAATCCTGTGTCATTTCAATTCTTTTAAAATGATGTGTTTTCCTCCTGATGTTGGTGTTCAGATGGCTACTCTTCAGAAGACATTGTGTATCACTGGTCAGAAAGTCAGAAGCTCATCCATGGCCTGGACAAACTGGAGCTTTCCCAGTTCACCATCACCGACTATCGCTTTGTGACAGAGATGATGAACTTTAAATCTGGTGAGGCTTTTCATAAACACCCTGGCTCAAATCTCCCTTCGTTGCTAACTATTTGATTTTGTATTTAAAGTTACCAACCTCCTCCTGCATTCATTGTTTTGTTTTGAGGATTCTTACGAATACTGAAAATCCTTAATAACTTTTTAGATCACACACATATATATATACACACATATATATATATATATATATATATATATATATATATATATATATATATATATATATATATATATATATACATACATACATACATACATACATACATACATACATACATACATACATACATACATACATACATACATACATACATACATACATACATACATACATACATACATACATACATATTTATTTATTTATTTATTTATTTATATATATATGTATATACATACATATATACATATATATTTATTTATTTATATATATATATATATATATATATATATATATATATATATATATATATATATATATATATATATATATATATTTATTTATATATATATATATATATATATATATATATATACAATGTAATAAAGTATACATATGTAAGTAAAAATATCATTTGCCATACTTGTTATATGTTGGAAATGATTTGGAAAGATGTACGAACTGTGTTGCTATGAATATATGACAATATTAATTATCGAAATAAGAAATTTAAAAACATTTTACTCTAAACATTTTTTTTTTTTTTATTTGTTTATGTTTTACCTTCACTTGAATGCAGATAGATTTCCTAAAAAATGCACAATTTTTGACCAAAATGTAAATAAATTGCATTTATTTATTTGCATTTACACGTGTTACTAAGCCAATGTTTGTCTCTGTTGAACCAGCGGGCAGATTTCCACGTCTTAGCCTGCGTTTCCAGCTGAGGAGGAACCGAGGAGTTTACATCATCCAGTCCTACATGCCGTCCATCCTGCTGGTGGCCATGTCCTGGGTTTCATTCTGGATCAGCCAGTCCGCCGTGCCAGCGAGAGTGTCTTTAGGTCAGTGTTTGACTGCTAATAATGATCATTTCATAGCAATTACAGTTATTCAAATGTTTCAAGTATATTACAGCGCTGCTTTTATACATCCTCATTTTATATGAAGCTTACAGTAGGTTTACATTCATCAAAGCTTAATAAAACACTTATAATATTTAATGGAGCAGTGGTTTTCTTCTCATAGTGTCTGAAACTATTGGTTTGAGTCTCTGTTAACCGCACCTTTCTGAAAGCCTACTGTGCTTTGATTGGTCAGATGGGCCCAGTCTGCTCTCATTGGTCAGATGGCCTGACTCTGCTCTGATTGGTGAGATGTTTAGTCTGCTGTAATTGGTCTGATGGCCTTATTCTGCTCTGATTGGTCAGATGGTACTAGTCTGCTCTGATTGGTCAGATGTTCAGTCTGCTGTAATTGGTCTGATGGCCTTATTCTGCTTTCATTGGTCAGATGGTACTGGTCTACTCTGTTTGGTCAGATTTTCAGTCTGCTGTAATTGGTCTGATGGCCTTATTCTGCTCTGATTGGTCAGATGGTACTAGTCTGCTCTCATTGGTCAGATGTTCCGTCTGTTGTAATTGGTCTGATGGCCTTATTCTGCTCTCATTGGTCAGATGGTACTGTGGTACTCTGATTGGTCAGATGTTCAGTCTGCTGTAATTAGTCTAATGGCCTTATTCTGCTCTGATTGGTCAGATGGCACTAGTCTGCTCTGATTGGTCAGATGTTCAGTCTGCTGTAATTGGTCTGATGGCCTTATTCTGCTCTCATTGGTCAGATGGCACTAGTCTGCTCTGATTGGTCAGATGTTCAGTCTGCTGTAATTAGTCTGATGGCCTTATTCTGCTCTGATTGGTCAGATGGCACTAGTCTGCTCTGATTGGTCAGATGTTCAGTCTGCTGTAATTGGTCTGATGGCCTTATTCTGCTCTGATTGGTCAGATGGCACTAGTCTGCTCTGATTGGTCAGATGTTCAGTCTGCTGTAATTGGTCTGATGGCCTTATTCTGCTCTGATTGGACAGATGTCATTACTCCGCTCTCATTGGTCAGATGGGTCTATTCTGCTCTAATTGGTCAGATTACTCTGCTCTTATTGGTCAGACAGCCCTGCTGTGATATAATTGGTCACAGGGTGTTACTCTGCTCTGATGTGTCAATGTGTTGTAATTGGCCAGATTACTCTACCCTGCTGTGGTTAGTCAGACGGCTCTACTCTACTCTCATTGGTCAGATAGATCTACTCTTTAGATCTTTAAAGCTTCATCTGAAAAATTATAATAGGGTCATTAAAATAATCTGAATGTAACAAGAGCATTTTACATAACTACTTGACTTTTTGTTGTTGTTTTACTCTGTTTTTGTTTTGGTTTTGTTCAGCACTTTGGTCAATGCAAAACTGAAGGTAAATGTGCTTTAAAATTAACTTTTCTTACTAAAATAACTTATTATATTTTTATTTGTGGTCCGCAGGAATCACGACGGTTCTGACCATGACGACGCTGATGGTCAGTGCTCGCTCTTCACTGCCTCGCGCTTCTGCCATTAAAGCTCTGGACGTGTATTTCTGGATCTGCTACGTCTTTGTGTTCGCTGCTTTGATCGAATACGCCTTTGCTCACTATAATGCAGACTACAGCAAGAAGGAGAAAGCCAAAGTCAAGACCAATAAGAATGCAGAGGTAATGCATAACCAGAAGATAAATATAGCATAACTGACCTGAAAACACTTACTGTAGGTCCCATTAATATCTGCAATGAAAATACATTTTCACCAGTGTGATGACAACTGAATGACACTGAATACAGGTGTAAACGGGGTCTGAAACATTCTGAACTTGTCAGCTCTCGACCACATCTAGAGGTAGTCAACATTGCATTCATTTGAATGGTTTTCATACTCTTTCAAAAAGAGATATATTTTAAGTATACAGTATATAATTAGGCATACTTAGTATTCTAACATCCATGTAGTAGTAGTATACTTGTAAGTGTACTACTTGAATACTGCTTTGGACTAAATTGGCCCACTTTTTAGTTCATACAGTTTTACTTTTAAGTGTGCTAAAAGTGTAACAGTAGTAAACTTTAGGAGTCCACAATAAAGTTTGCATATGCATCAGACACTTTTAGATGAGCCCCCCATACTTCTTGGAAGAAAAACAAACAAAAATTAGATGCTTCATAGCACTTATATACTGCTACTCTCTGATGATTTGATGTGCTTTTTTATCCTCACTTATAAGTCAATTTGGATAAAAGAGTCTGCTTAAACCTGTCTAATAGTCCCACCCTAAATGACTGAAAGCTCCGCCTTAAAGGACTGATAGCCCCGCCCTAAATGACAGATAGTTCCACCCTAAATGACAGATATCCCCACCCTAAATGACTGATATCCCCGCCCTAAATGACTGATAGCCCCACAACAGAGTGCTGATAGCCCCGCCCTAAATGACTGAAATCCCGCCTTAAATGACTGATAGCCCCGCCCTAAATGACTGAAATCCCCGCCTTAAATGACTGATAGCTCCGCCCTAAATGACTGATAGCCCCGCCTTAAATGACTGATACCCCCGCCCTAAATGACTGATAGCTCCACAACAAAGTACTGATAGCCCCGCCTTAAATGACTGATAGCCCCGCCCTAAATGACTGATAGCTCCATCCTAAATGACTGGTAGTCTCACACTAAATGAGTAATAGCCCTGCCCAAAATGACTGATAACTCCACCCTAAATGACTTATAGCTCCGCCCTAAAAGACTGATAGCCCAATCCTAAATGACTGATAGCTCCGCCCTAACAGACTGATAGCCCAATCCTAAATGACTGATAGCTCCGCCCCAAAAGACTGATAGCCCAATCCTAAATGACTGAAAGCTCCGCCTTAAAGGACTGATAGCCCCGCCCTAAATGACAGATAGTTCAACCCTAAATGACAGATATCCCCACCCTACATGACTGATATCCCCGCCCTAAATGACTGATAGCCCCACAACAAAGTGCTGATAGCCCCGCCTAAATGACTGATAGCTCCGCCCTAAATGACTGATAGCCCTGCCTTAAATGACTGATAGCCCTGCCCTAAATGACTGATAGCTCCACAACAAAGTACTGATAGCCCCGCCCTAAATGACTGATAGCTCCACCCTAAATGACTGGTAGTCTCACACTAAATGAGTAATAGCCCTGCCCAAAATGACTGATAACTCCACCCTAAATGACTTATAGCTCCGCCCTAAAAGACTGATAGCCCAATCCTAAATGACTGATAGCTCTGCCCTAAAAGACTGATAGCCCAATCCTAAATGACTGATAGCTCCGCCCTAAAGGACTGATAGCTCTGCCTTAAATGACTGATAGTCCCATCCTAAATGAGTGATAGCTCCGCCCTAAATGACTAATATCCCTGCCCTAAATGACTATTAGCTCCGCCCCTAAGTGACTGATAACCCCGTCCTAAAAAACTGACAGCCTTATTTCACTTATAGCTCCGCCCTAAAAGACTAATAGCCCAATCCTAAATGACTGATAGTCCCACCCTAAATGACTGATAGCCCTGCCCTAAGGGACTAATGGTCCTGCCCTAAATGACTGTTAGCTCCGCCTCCTAAATTACCGATAACCCCGCCCTAAAAGCATTCCATGTGACCAGTGCTGAAGAAAGGTTGTTTGGAGGTGGGAGTGAATGTATATGGTGTTTAATAAACAAAACAGTGAAGTGCACAGACACATGGTTTATAACAAACTCTGTATGCATTTAAAAATAAGTCCATTTTGAGTTCATGTTGACCATTAATAAACTGCATTTTCCTTCGTTTCTATCACAGTCGATGGTGAAGAATGGAAAGCAGGCCATGGTTCTGTTTTCTCTGTCGGTGGCGGGCATGAACCAGGGTCTCCTGATCTCCAACAGGCAGAGCAGATCACACAGAGCCTCCGACGCCGCCGCCGCCGCTGCAGATCCGCATGAAGAGACTGAGACTCGCAGCGCTACGAGCCGAAGAGCGCAGAAAGAAAGCAGCGAGGAGAAGAAATGCTGCAAGTGTAAACCCATAGACGCCGACACCATCGACATCTACGCTCGTGCCGTCTTCCCGTTCACCTTCGCCGTGGTCAACGTCATCTACTGGGTGGCGTACACCATGTAGATCAATCATAACACATCCCCCTCCGCATGGCCATACAGCTGAAGTCAGAATTATTCATCCTCCTGTGAATATTTTTAAATATTTCGCAAATGATGTTGAACAGATTCAGGAAATTTTCACAGTATTTCCTTTAATATTTGTTCTTCTGGAGAAAGTCTTATTTGTTTTATTTCGGCTAGAATAAAAGCAGGTCTTAATTGTTTTAAAGCCATTTTAAGGTCAATATTATTCGCCCCCTTCAGCAATATTAGTGTTGGATTGTCTCCAGAACAAACCACTGTTATACAATGACTTGCCTAATTACCCTAACTTTACCCTAATTACCCTAGTGAAGCCTTTACATGTCACTTTAAGCTGAACACTAGTGTCTTGAAGAATATCTAGTCTAATATTATGTGCTGTCATCATGACAAAGAGAAAATAAATCACTTATTAGAGATGAATTATTAAAGCTATTATGATTAGATATGTGTCAGGGAGCAAAAATGTACAGGGAGGCTAATAATTCTGACTTCACTCATGTCAATACACTGATGTGACAAGATTATTAGCATATCTGGGGCCGGATGCACGAAAATCGTCTTAAGAAATAAACTAAGAGGTGTCTAAAATGGGTAGTTCAGTACTTCATTACTCTCCCTCAAGTGGTTCCAAACCTTTATGAGTTCCTTTAACACGAAAGAAGATATTTTGAAGAGAACTGGAAACCTGTAACCATTGACTTCCATAGTAGGAAAAGAAATATAATGCAAGTCAATGGTTACAGGTTTTTACAGTAGCTTTCTTCAAAATATCTGCTTTAGTGTTCAACAGAAAAAAGAAACTCAGACATGTTTAAAGAGTGAGTAAATTAGTGCAATTTTTAGTTTTAAGTGAACTATCCCTTTATTCCTAGCAATTAAGGGGCACCAATGGTGAAAAATCTACTTTTCAAGCTGTTTGGACAGTCATGTGTGTAGGTATAGTGTATAGTTCGTCATATTGGGCTGATATAAACACACACAGTCCTTTATTTTCAATTTAACAACCAAAAAACGGACCAATTGGAGCGGTTTTCAGACCGACCGCAACTTGATGTAGGAGTGTGCTCCCCCCGCCCACCAATATTGATTGACAGCTGCGTATTAACATGTCCTGGTAGTCACGTGTATAATCATATCAACAAGACCAGACGTGCGCAAAGCAACCGGGAATAAAAGATTTGTTCAGTTTGCTAGGATCATCAGCAGAAAGAGTGCAAAGCTAAACGCGCGCTCTGTCTGTCTGTCTGTGCATCTGTGTGTGTGTGTGTGTGCGTGAACTTTGTAACGACATTGTGTGTGACTTGATCGATGCAAGTCCACAACAAATACTCATTGGTGAAGTTCTTACTGTAGTATTTCTCACAAACGCTGCGTGAGACCTTCTTCCTTTAAGTCTGTCTGTTGTCTGATGCAGCTGAGGAAGGAGATCAAGGCACACAGAAATGGTATGTGGGGAGGACTCGCCTTAAAGGCGCAGTACGACAAAACAGCCCCCTAGTGCAAAAATGTATAAAGTAGAATCTTGTAAAAGGTATAATGAAAAATCTGATGGGTGTTTTGAGCTGAAACTTTACAGACACAGTCTGGAGACGCAAAACACTCGTATTAAATCTGAAAAAAGGGGTAACCTAGGTGCCCATTAAACTCAAGTATAGTCACAACAATTTCATTACAGCTTCATTTTAATTATTTTAATTGTATCACTTACTGTCGAAATTAAAATAATGTTTAGTGAATCTGGCCCTGGATTATTAGACCATCAGTCCTTTATTGTAGATGCTCATCAGTATGACAGGATAGGGGATTTAGAGGATGCTTGGATGGACGGGGATTGTTGCATTTTAACAAGACTGATAGATACCTCTTTACACTTAGTCGTGAATGCTTTACAATGACATTTCCTTGTTAATTTACTTGCTTTTTCTGAATATTTGCACCAGAATAGCCTTCTGAGCACTTGTATGAATGAACTAAAGCTGCGTTTTTTTGACTTTATTAAGTTTTACAAGGTTCGTTCTTCATTTTTATTTTATTGTTATTATTATTTTTGTTATTATAGATATTATTGTTGAAACCAGTTCTGATTACTTTTTTTACTTGGAAATGTGGAACTATCTTTGCTTGCAATGTCATGATGTGCTTGAATGAAATTAGGCAGTTTAATGTATTATTTAAATGCATTTTCTTGCATAGTGTTTATCATAGTTTATTATTATTATTTTTCTGAAATTGGCTTTAAATAAGAGCTGATTTATGTTGTGGAAAGTCATTACATATGAACTTTGAGCAGAAGTAATGATGTTTTGCATGAGAGTTTGTATCAGTATTGCTGAAAGATGTTATTCTGGACCTTTTCTGCATTATTTAATCGCTTTTTATCATTATTTTGGCTTCAGTTTTGTCTAAAGAAGCACTAAAAAGCTGCTTTTATTTTGAAACCTCACAACAAAATTTGCTGTTGTAATGACAATCGGAGCATATTGTTTTTGTGCATGCGAATTAACATTACAGCATGTGATTTATTGTTTCCTGCCTTTTTGATTTGGCTGTATAATGATTAATGCCACCACCGCATCATAGGATAATGACATGATTTATGTTCTTAGAGACAAAGAGGATAAATAAAACTCTTCTAGCCACCTCGTGTCTTGATTTTGGATTCAGAAATGCAGACATTTTTAGATTAAAGGTGCAGTATGTAAGTTTGACACCCAGTGGTTGAACTAGGTATTGAACGCTTGGTTCAAAACATGCAGGCGCAGACGGCCAGATTGACGACACCAACATATCAGTGATTTAGCATCTACATTTAATTATGGTAATGAGGTTTAATATTTATTAATTAAATTATAAACGTTACCATTTGGCTGAAGTGCAGTGAGTGCACTATTCTGTGCTTCTGAATGGCTGTATTTACATTTCTGTCCTGTTTCGTCTGATGCAAACAGCCTAATTGCTCATCACTGTGTATCTCGTCAGGTAGCGTGTTGTTAGGACACAGGGTTACAATGTAACCTGCTCACCTAATGTTTACGCTCGTAATATTAATATTATTTGCTAATTAATAACCTCATGTGGAACTCTGAATCTGTGTCTCATTTTGGAGTCTGTCTCTGTCCACCAGAGGTCGCATTTCGGTCATGGACACAGGTGCTGAAATATAATTGGCTAAACTGGCAGTGGGTGGGTTAAAGAGACCAAAACAAAGACAGCCATTCCGTCATGTAACGCACATGTTCAAAGCAGAATATCTGACTTCAGCAGTGTTTTTCAGATGTTCAAGAATGTTCAATGAGCATGTTCTGAATATCTGCACACATGTGATGCTGTTTTTCTGCTTTAGAAGAGTCAAACACTGACATGCAGCAGCTTTGATTATAACTCTGCTGCTACTAAAGAGCAGTACATACAGTTTTTCCCTGTTTTTGTTTTGTGTACAGATAACCAGGATCACAATCACTGTTCTGGATGATTTATAAGCATTTTCAATTAGTGAAGACCAGTAAAATGTCCTCATGGCCTAGAGCACCGTCTGCTTTTAAAAACTAGCCTAGAATGCTGCCTGCTGTTAGAAAATAACCTAGAGCACCGTCTGCTATGAAAAACTAGCTTTGAGTGCTCTTACTAGAGTATATAGTAAAGACATCTGTTGTTAAAAACTAGCCTAGAGCACCGCCTGCTGTTTAAAAACTAGCCTAGAGCGCCATCTGTTGTTAAAAACTAGCCTAGAGCTCTGTCTGCTGTTAAACACTAGTCTAGAGCACCATCTGCTTTAAAAAAAGCCTAGAGCGCCATCTGCTTTAAGAACTAGTGTAGAGTGTCATCTACTGTTAAAAACTAACCTAGACTGTCATCTGCTGTTAAACACTAGCCTAGAGTGCTTTCTAATGTTAAACACTAGTCTAGAGCGCCATCTACTGTTAAAACTAGCCTAGAGCGCTGTCTGCTGTTAAAACTAGCCTAGAGCGCCTTCTGCTGTTAAAACTAGCTTTCAGTGCCATCTGTAGTTAAAATCTAGCCTAGAGCGACATCGGTTGTTAAAAACTAGCCTAGAGCGCCATCTGTTCTTAAAAACTAGCCTAGAGCGCCATCTGCTTTTAAAATCTAGCCTAGAGCAACATATTTTGTTAAAAACTAGACTAGAGCGCCATCTTTTCTTAAAAACTAACCTAGAGCGCCATCTGTTGTTAAAACTAGACTAGAGTGCCGTTTGCTGTTTAAAAACTAGCCTAGAGCGCCATCTGTTCTTAAAAACTAGCCTAGAGCGCCATCTGCTTTTAAAATTCAGCCAAGAGCGCCATCTGTTGTTAAACACTATCCTAGAGCGCCATATACTTTAAAAACAAGCCTAGTGCGCCGTAAGCTGTTAAACACTAGCCTAAAGCGTCATCTGCTGTTAAACATTAGCCTAGAGCGCCATCTGCAGTTAAAACCTAGCCTAGAGCCCCGTCCGCTGTTAAACACTAGCCTAGAGCGCCGTCCGCTGTTAAACACTAGCCTAGAGCACCGTCTGCTGTTAAGCACAAGTGTAGAGCGCCATCTGCTGTTAATAACTAGCCTAGAGCGCCGTCTGCTGTTAAATATTAGCTTAGAGGGCCGTCTGTTGTTAAACAATGGCCTAGAGCGCCGTCCGCTGTTAAACACTAGCCTAGAGCGCCGTCTGCTGTTAAGCACAAGCCTAGAGCGCCATCTGCTGTTAAAAACTAGCCTAGAGCACCGTCTGCTGTTAAACATTAGCTTAGAGGGCCGTCTGTTGTTAAACACTAGCCTAGAGCACCAATTGTTGTTAAAAACTAGCACTATTTGCTGTTAAAAACTAGCTTAGAGCGCCACCTGCTTTTAAAAACTATAGTCTAGATCATCGCTGTCTGATGTTTAAACTAGCTTATCGCTCCATCTGCTGTTAAAAACTAGCCTACAGTTCCGTCTGCTGCTAAACACTAGCCTAAATCGTCCACTGTTAAACACTAAGCTCGTTATCGACTCAAAAGTGAATAGTGAGGCACTTTCAAAATTGCAGAATCAATGCATCACAACAGCTCTAGAAATCAATACCTGCTGGTTCAAAAAGATCCGCAATCAGTCATGTAACACGAGGATCACTGCAGCACTTGATGTCACATGAAATTTTCAGTTGTGTCCCTTATTTTATATTGACTATTGTAGACTATACACCCACCTGCCAAATGAAAACACACAGTAGGCTCTTCAAGAAGATTCCCCTCGGTAAAGGCAAAGTTTACCCGTTTTATCCAGTCTGATCAATCAACAGCTCAGTTCAACTCCTATTGTCTGGTATGTGAAACGCACATGACCCTAAACTCAGGTTATGTGCAAGACTTGTGCAACATGCTGTTCAAAGGACAGAGAAATGGGTGGAGAAAGGCTGTGAGCGGTGTCTGTGTTGTAAACAGAGCAGAAGCACGTCTGCATTTCAGAAGCACAACACAAACACTCTGAAGGGGAATTAGGATTAAGAAAAGTCTCCTTCATCATGACGGATCACGAATTCCCTGACGTGGCTTCAGTGAGTGTCGAGTAGTCTGTTTTATAATAATAATAATAGAATTAGCTATATGTTTTCTACAATGAGTGAACGAAAATTTATAGAGTTTACTAAACTGTCCATATGAAAAAAAATACTAATTTTACGTTATATTTACTATAGAATATGTAGTAAATTTTCTGTGGTAAATATGGTATGCTTTAGAGCTTTTTTTAGCTTTACTGCAGTAAATATATACCTTTGTAAATTCCAACAATGTGGTCATTTGTTTTAGTAATTGTACTATTAATAACTACAATAATAATAACTATAATATAATAACTATAGTCTATTAAAGTAAATTACTACATTTGTTAATAGACTATTGAGGGTCATTGTAGACTTCATATCCCTTAAAGCCAGATTTTTCAGTTTAAGGCAATCACAAACTCAGCCAAACACAGTGTTTTAACTGAAAAGATGATTTTACTCCATTATAAAGCAAAGTGTTTTACACACAGCAGCTCTTTTTTTACTATTATTACATTAGTACAGCTCTTACTAGAGTATAAAGTAAAGACATCTGTTGTTAAAAACTAGCCTAGAGCACCGCCTGCTGTTAAAAACTAGCCTAGAGCACCGTCTGCTGTTTAAAAAGTAGCCTAGAGCGCCATCTGCTGTTTGAAAACTAGCCTAGAGCGCCGTCTGCTTTAAAAAAAACTAGCCTAGAGCGTCATCTGCTGTTAGCTGTTGTTAAAAAATAACGTAGTGTCATCTGCTGTGAAACACTAGTCTAGAGCGTCGTCTGCTGTTTAAAAACTAGTCTAAAGCGCTGTCTGCTGTTAGAAAGTAGCCTAGAGCACCGTCTGCTGTTTAAAAACTAGCCTAGAACGCCGTCTGCTATAAAAAAACTAGCTTAGAGCGTCATCTGCTGTTAAAAACTAGCCTAGAGCGCCGTCTGCTGTTAAAAACTAGCCTAGAGCGCCGTCTGCTGTTTAAAAACTAGCCTAGAGCGCCATCTGCTTTAAAAACTAGCCTAGAGCGCCGTCTGCTGTTTGAAAACTAGCCTAGAGCGGCGTCTGCTGTTTAAAAACTAGCCTAGAGCGCCATCTGCTTTAAAAAAACTAGGCTAGAGCGCCGTCTGTTGTTGAAAAATAACGTAGTGTCATCTGCTGTTAAACACTAGTCTAGAGCGTCGTCTGCTGTTTAAAAACTAGTCTAAAGCGCTGTCTGCTGTTAGAAAGTAGCCTAGAGCACCGTCTGCTGTTTAAAAACTAGCCTAGAGCGCCGTCTGCTTTAAAAAAACTAGCCTAGAGCATCATCTGCTGTTAAAAACTAGCCTAGAGCGGCGTCTGCTGTTTAAAAACAAGCCTAGAGCGGCGTCTGCTGTTTAAAAACTAGCCTAGAGCGCCATCTGCTTTAAAAACTAGCCTAGAGCGCCGTCTGCTGTTTAAAAACTAGCCTAGAGCGCCATCTGCTGTTTAAAAACTAGCCTAGAGCGCCATCTGCTGTTTAAAAACTAGCCTAGAGCGCCATCTGCTGTTTAAAAACTAGCCTAGAGCGCCGTCTGCTGTTTAAAAACTAGCCTAGAGCGCCATCTGTTGTTAAAAACTAACATAGAGTGTCATCTGTTCTTAAAAACTAGCCTAGAGAGCTATTACAGCTCTTACTATAGTATATAGTAAAGACGGATACATGAAGTGTAAATACTAGAACAAACTAAATATAAACTACGTTATGAGTCAATACACCACAGTGTAGTTTACTATAAATTATACCACAGTACTTACTAGTTTATCAATTCACTGTATGCTGCAGTAAGATAAATATAAAGACAATACACTAAATATAGTATTACTGTAATGTGGCTGTAGCTTTTGTAAGAACATTGGTAAGAGCTTGATGCAGTTGCTAATAATTCATTAATTAAATACATGTTGTAATTTTAAAAGTGTGTAGATTAAAATCAACTTCGAAGCACATGTTCGAACAATAATGTTTTTATTAATGCAAATGCATGCTTGTTAACGTTGGTAAATGATGATTGTGTAAGATTTTAATACATGTAGATGTTAATTAATGTTTGGTTTCACGGATGTAAAATATATGTTCTATATGCAAAAATGGCTGTTTGCATGTTTGTTTACATGTATGTACGAGGTTTTCTGTGTGGATTGTTTACTGAATGTTTCTACGCTGCAGATGAAGCCATGCATTCGTCCGGACATGTTTGATTTCGAGGGAGTGTTTTTGACTCGCTTCTTCACTGACAACTGGGAGAACGTGAAAAACTTTCAAGCCAGACCTGACGACATTCTCATAGCCACGTATCCTAAAGCAGGTTATAGCGCCATTAAAAACCCCAGTATGAACTACTGACTTTCCAAACTGAGCTTTAAAATCTTAAAACATCCTAGTATCAACTGTAATAAATACCGTAATACACTTGAGTGTCATTGTAGTATACTCTATTGCTGTGAAAATGACAGTACTGGTAAAAAAATCCAGCTTAAACCAGCCTAGGATGGTTGGTTGGTTTTAGCTGGTCAACCAGGCTGGTTTAAGAGGGGTTTTGGCCACTTCCAGGCTGGTTTCCAGCTATTTCCAGCCTGGTCTTAGCTGGTCAGGCTGGGAGATGACCAGATAAAACCAGCTTGACCAGCCTAGGCTGGGAGCCCAGCCAAAACCAGCTATGTCCAGCTTAAACCAGGCTGATGAAGCTGGTTTTAAATGGTTTTAGCTGGTCACTTTCCAGCCTGACCAGCTAAGACCAGGCTGGAAATGGCTGGAAACCAGCCTGGAGGTGGCCAAAGCCCCTCTTAAACCAGGCTGATCGACCAGCTAAAACCAGCCAACCAGCCTAGGCTGGTTTAAGCTGGGTTTTTCAGCAGGGTTGGGTCAGTTGTTTATAATACTATAGTTGTTGTGTTACCATAGCAACTGTAGGGTTTCTCATCGCAGCAGCGGACGTAGCTGGAAAGCTATTATTAGCCCATGGATGTTTACATTAGATGTGACCTACGCTATTGTTGTCCATTGGAAGGAATGGTAATTTTGGTACAGGGTACCGCCCCTTTAAAATGAATGTGGGATCCTTGTGTGGGACCAAGGTGTAAATAATAATAGGTGTCAAGTAAATAAACAGAATTAATGATGGGCTACAAATCTGCGGAAATCTCTGCACGCAGATTCTGTGTGGGCCTACTCATTACTACACCCGTACACAGTGCTAAAGTCCAGCATCTTCATTGGCTTTAGTCTTGACTAAGTGCTTTTGAATGACATTTGTTCTGGAAGCACTGTACCAATATGGCGGCGGTATTGATGCATGCTCACCCTGCTGACAAAAGCAGCTTAAACCAGCATAGGCTGGTTGGCTGGTTTAACCTGGTCAACCAGGCTGGTTTCAGAGGTGTTTTGGCCATTTCCAGGCTGGTAAATGGCCAACTAAATCCAACTAAAACCAGGAAACCAGCCTGGAAAGGGTCAAAACCCCTCTATAACCAGGCTGGTCAACCAGGTAAAACCAGCCTAGGCTGCTTTAAGCTGTTTTTTTCAGTGGGGCAGGGTTGGTCTGTATGCAATAATGTATATATCTATGACATTAGCCTAGATAACGTCATATGTACTTTCTCGCCCATGGACACTAGCGGTAATTAGAGATTTGTTTAATAATTTATTTGATGCAAATATGATTTAACACAAAGTATAGCTTTATAAATGTACATACGTGGGTTTTTTTTATCTAACTTTCGAGCCATTTATGATAGTGAAGGCAAGTAAATGCAACATAACCATCTTGTGAAAATAATCCATTCAAGTACGGTTCAAAAACACTACATTTACTCTATAAGCTACTGATATTTTACTCACGTGAGTAAATGCCTCAGTTTATTTATTTGGTGTGTGGATGCACTTATGTGTGAACTGGTTTATATCTCTGTCTCTGCTGTTTACTTTTTAATCTTTGCAAAATGTCTGAAATTGAAAATAAATGATGAAAAACTTGCTTTCCTTTGCTAGGAACTACATGGGTTTCTTATATCCTCGACCTTCTGTATTTCGGTAATGATGAGAATCAGACCTCGCAGCCCATCGTTCAGAGAGTGCCGTTCCTGGAGTCCTGCTTTCAGGAGTTTTCAACGAGTCAGTCAATCTTTTTACCGCTACACTATTAATGAACTTATTTTATCTAAATAAAAATAATAGTGGTGTTGTTGTTGTTGTTGTTGTTAAAGGGTCATGAAATAAGTTGTTTACAGTACATGTGCAGGTTGAGTTTTTGCTGCCAAACCTATGACTGATTAACAAGACTAAGATAATTAATGACTTTTCTTTAATTATTTAACCTTTACTTTTGTAATATTTATTTTGCTGGTCAAATTGTATTTTCTTGGGCTTATGCTTTACTTTAAATGCTAATTTGAGAGAGAACCTTCAATGAGAAATGTAAAGTAGGTCACAAATGTAATAAAGTAATTATTTTGGGTCAAAAAAAAAAACATTGTGCCATAGCACTACGAGTGAAGTGTTTAGCCTCTTAAAAAACCTGCAGAGAAACTTGACTGAGGAAGCTGAGAGTGAGGGCGAAGTTAAGCTCATGGCTATGGATGATGTCATCATGGTTATTAACTGTGCACACAACGATTGGCTGTTGATGGGTAGGGGGAGGAGTCTCTGTAAGAGATTTATTTTTGTAGAGTGTGATTAAATGATCATTTTCAAATAAATGTTTTATTATGCATATTAAGCAAAGAGTTGCATTTTAAAAATTAAATACAGAATTTTTTTTCCAATGTTACAATATAAAAACTTTCAGGAAAATAAGAATTAATAAAATATTATTATATTTATATTATTATTATTATTCATTAATTTTCTTGCTGATTTAGTCCCTTTTATTCCACAGCGGAATGAACCGCCAACTTATCCAGCAAGTTTTTACGCAACGGATGCCCTTCCAGCCGCAACCCATCTCTGGGAAAATTATTATTATTATATTGAATATTAGCGGCGAGGCAGTGGCGCAGTAGGTAGTGCTGTCGCCTCACAGCAAGAAGGTCGCTGGTAAGAACCTCGGCTCAGTTGGTGTTTCTGTGTGGAGTTTGCATGTTCTCCCTGCATTCGCGTGGGTTTCCCAGAGATGGGTTGTGGCTGGAAGGGCATCTGCTGCGTAAAAACTTGCTGGATAAGTTGGCGGTTCATTCCGCTGTGGAATAAAAGGGACTAAATCGACATAAAAAAATTTTCATGAAATGAAAATGTAGCAATATTCAAATGTAAGCTAAGTGTCAGCAAGTAAACAAGACTGTGTTCAGTTTCAGGGACAGAAATGGCGGATAATCTACCCACTTCTCCTCGACTCATTAAAACCCATTTACCGGTCCAGCTCGTGCCCAAGTCCTTCTGGGAGCAGAACTCAAGGGTAAGAATACCATTTTCACAAAAAATATAGGCGATTATTAAAAATACAAATAGATTTCTGAAGTTCAAACATTGATATTGTGTCATCTAAAAATGTATATAAACATGAAAATATATTTATGTGGGCGACACGGTGGCTCAGTGGTTAGCACTATTGCCTCACAGCAAGAAGGGTGCTGGTTCAAGTCCTGGCTGGGCCAGTGGGCAGTTCTGTGTGGAGTGTGCATGTTCCCCCCGTGTTGGTGTAGGTTTCCTCTGGGTGCTCCAAGCACATTCGCTATGTGCACATTGCATTTGTGTGTGTGTGTGTGTGTGTGTGTGTGTGTGTGTGTGTGTGTGTGTGTGTGTGAATGAGTGTGTATGGGTGTTTCCCAGTACTTGTTGCAGCTGGAAGGTCATCCACTGCGTAAATCATATGTTGGAAAAGTTGGTGGTTCATTCCACAGTGGCGCCCCCTGATGAATAAAGGGACCAAGCCAAAGGAAAATGACTGAATGAATCAAACATTTTTCCTGATTAAATCCTCATGTCATAATAGTTTCTTTCTCTTAATCCAGGTTGTGTATGTGGCACGCAACGCAAAAGACAACGCCGTTTCCTATTTCCATTTTGACCGAATGAACATGGTGCAGCCCGAGCCAGGAGACTGGGATAGCTATTTAGACAAATTCATGCAAGGCCAAAGTAAGTAAGTAAGCCAGTTTACAGCAGCTCACAACACAAAATACCACAGTGTAGGATTTACTATAGTAAACTGTATGTTTTCAGCCTTCCTAAAGCGCATAAACACAGCTATTCTCTCAATTAAAGCCATGTTAGCCATTTAGCATCGAAGCTCACTGGGTAGACAGCAGGTAGGACAGGCCTGCCCACGATGGGAATCCACGACTATAGTGAAGTGGATTACATGCGAGAATGAATCGAGTAAACTCAAAATGTTCACATTTACGCACAATATCATGATTTATTTAATATATCGCTGAGTCTTGTGTGATTTTTTTTTTAAATTCTGGGTTATTTTAACCCGTTTCTGGGTGTAATAGGGACTAACCCAACTGCTGGGTTAATTTTATTTAATTATAAGAGTATGACCAAATTTAACACAATGTTTTGGTTAGTCAAAAATTAACCCAATTTGAGTTGAAATAACCCAGCATTTCCTAGAGTGGGGATTTGTATTTTCTCTGCAGATGTGTTCGGTTCTTGGTTCGACCACGTCAGCGGATGGTGGCAGAAAAAGCGGAGCTATCCCAACATGCTCTACATGTTCTTTGAGGATTTGTCTGAAGTATGTAAATTTATAGAGTGATCGTTAGATGAGCTGTGGAAATGTGAAGAGTGTGTATTGCGTGTTTCTTGTGTTTTCCAGGACACTGGGCGTGAGGTGAACCGCTTGTGCTCTTTCCTGGGTTTGTCCACGTCAGTCCAAGAGAAGGAGAAAATAACTAAAGGAGTTCAGTTTGATGCCATGAAACAAAACACATTGATCAACCATGTCACAATCCCTTTCCTGGACTGCAAGATCTCACCCTTCATGAGGAAAGGTTCATAAACCACACACTCATTTCATTTAGAGGTGTGCTGATATTCAATAATACAGTATTCTAGGGCTGGCAGAAAACAGCTGATGGAGTATCCACTAACCTGCACATTATTCACACACTAGATGGCGCCAAACAGTCAAAAACAGCTGATGGAGTATACACTAACCTGTGCATTATTCAGACACTAGATGGCGCTAAACATTCACAAACAGCTGATAGAGTATACACTAACCTGCACATTATTCACACACTAGATGGCGTCAAACAGTCAAAAACAGCTGCTGGAGTATACACTAACCTGTGCATTATTCAGACACTAGATGGCGTCAAACAGTTGAAAACACAAAGTTGACAGAAACGAAAACAGCTGATGGAGTATACACTAACCTGCGCAGTATTCAGATACTAGATGGCGCAAAACAGTCAAAAACACCTGCTGGAGTACACACTAACCTTTTCATTATTCAGACACTAGATGGCGCCAAACAGTTGAAAACACAAAGTTGACAGAAACGAAAACAGCTGATGGAGTATACACTAACCTGTGCATTATTCAGACACTAGATGGCGCCAAACAGTCAAAACAGCTGCTGGAGTACACACTAACCTGTGCATTATTCAGACACTAGATGGAGACAGTCAGAAACAGCTGATGGAGTATACACTAACCTGCGCATTATTCAGACACTAGATGGCGCCAAACAGTTGAAAACACAAAGCTGACAGAAACTAAAACAGCTGATGGAGTATACACTAACCTGCGCAGTATTCAGACACTAGATGGAAACAGACAGAAACAGCTGATGGAGTATACACTAACCTGCGCAGTATTCAAACACTAGATGGAAACAGACAGAAACAGCTGATGGAGTATACACTAACCTGCGCAGTATTCAGACACTAGATGGTGCCAAACAGTCAAAAACAGCTGATGGAGTATACACTAACCTGTGCATTATTCAGGCACTAGATGGCGCCAAACAGTCGAAAACACAAAGCTGACAGAAACTAAAACAGCTGATGGAGTATACACTAACCTGCGCATTATTCAGACGCTAGATGGCGCCAAACAGTGAAAAACACAAAGCTGACAGAGATTATAACAGCTGATGGAGTATACACTAACTAACTAATTTATTACTGTAGTGTTCGTTCATGTGGAGTTCTTCGCTTTCACTGCTGCTCATCTTCTTGTTTGTGTCCCAAAAGGTAAAGTTGGAGACTGGAAAAGTCACTTCACCGTGGCCCAGAACGAACGCTTCGATGAAGTCTATAAACAGAAGATGAAGAACAGCGGCGTCACGTTTCGCACTGAGATTTAAAACCCTACAGATCTTGCATTTCACGTTTAATTGCTGCTCCTCTGATTTCACAAGTGGAAGTAGTTTGTTTTCCACACTCACACAAAATTAAAAACGTGATACTACTGGTGAATTGTTAGAGCTCAGATCAATGTTTTGTGTCTAATAGTTTAGTTTTGTGGCACACAGCCTTGTATAGTCAGGATAATGCACATCCTGCTGGTTGTTATTGCAGAATGATCCCTCCAGTCTTACACAACAGCTGCTAATAAACCTGTCTGTTTTTTTCTGTGATAACAAATGTCTCGATGTACTTTATCACTTACTTAACATGTTGTGATTGACCAATCAGAATCAATTTGCCGGCAGCTGGCTCTCTGCAGCTCTCACATGGTCGCCCACTGAAGCTAAGCAGGGCTGCGCCCGGTCAGTACCTGGATGGGGGACCACATGGGGAAGCTAGGTTGTTGCCGGAAGTGGTGTTAGTGATGCCAGCAGGGGGCGCCCAACCTGTTGTCCGTGTGAGTCCTAATGCCCCAGTATAGTGAAGGGGACTCTATACTGCTCAGTGTGCGCCGTCTTTCAGATGAGACGTTAAACCGAGAAGTTAAACTCTCTGTGGTTGTTAAAAATCCCAGGATGTCCTTCAAAAAAGAGTAGCGGTTTAACCACAGTGTCCTGGCCAAATCTGCCCACTGGCCTCTGTCCATCATGGCCTCCAAATCATCCCCATATCATCTGTCTCCTCTCCACCTATCTGCTGGTGTGTGATATGCGGTCTGGCGCAATATGGCTGCCATCAGGTCATCCAGGTGGATGCTGCACTCTGGTGGTGGATGAGGATGTGTATGTTACCCCAATGTGTAAACCGCTTTGAGTGTCCAGAAAAGCGCTATATTAATGTCAAATGTCTTATTAGAAGTATATTTATTAATATACTTTTTTACTGTTTGATTAATCAGTGTCTTGAATGATGAATTAAATAAACATTTAACTATTTATTTATACATGAATTATTTTTTAATGCAACGCTTTATTTCTTTATTAAATGACCTTTAAAAACACAATTTAAATAAACACATTTAACTACGTCTATTTATTTGTCCATCATTTGCTCAATTATATTGGCATATTTTTTATACATTTCTATGCTTCAACTATTAAATTGATGAATTTATTATTTGTTTTATTTCTAAATGGCACTCCTGGTCCTCCATACCAATGATATCTATGACTGTTTCACAAATGTGCATTTAAAACAATTTGAATTAAATATGTGTCTGAGAAACTCATTACATTAATAATAATTAAATTAAACAAAAATTATATTGCTTAAACAGGACGTTTGCATACGGTTCAGGTTGGAGGGCAGTCTCAAATTTAAAGGGACAGTTCACCCACAAAATGAAAAGTAATTTACTAATAATAATTAACTCTATTATAATCAAATAATGTACTAATTGAAGATGTAGGTAATTTTTCGTCAATAGAATAAAAGTAATAGGGTTGTTGCTAGAAATGATACAGCTGCTGCCGCAGGTACACGATAGTTATTTATATTATTAATTTAATTACACAATAAATTGTGTTTTATTACCGCTAACCCTACCCTACCCCTAAAACCAGCCATCACAGTAATTTTAAAACAGTAATTATAACGATAATAATTTGTATTATTAAATAAATCACGCATTAAATTGTATTTTATCAGCGTCAACCCTACTCCAGCCGTCACAGTAATGTAAAAATATGTCGCAAAAAATATGCTATATATTGACGAGAGTATCTGCAGCTGTGTCTCATCTAGTAGAGGGGACTTTTATTTTGACACGACGCTCTGACGTGCGCGCGCGCTGTTCCTGTGATCACGCCTAGTGAACGGACAGTCACACGATCATCAGTATGATCTTCTGCGCTTTACTGTTCACGTAAAGCCTATTTAATATCGATATTTATCGCTATTTACTGCTAATTGCTTGATAAAGGGCTCAAAGCGGGTCTCCGATGAATAAGGTAGATAATTGTTCGTTTTTGGCATCTGTCAGTGTGCTTTAGCTGAGGCCTGTTCACAATCTGCTTGTTTACAATAGAGGACACACAATGTATTTGACTATTTCACTATTACTTAATACTATTTATTTATTCATCCAATGCAAGTATTTTAGGGTCATTTTAATAAAACATACTTCTTCTTTAGAACATAAAAGATTTGAAAACAACAGCGTTTAAATCCACACAATAATAGCAAGTTAGCATTAGTAAGAGAAGCAAAAACTAATCTCTTCAAAGAAATTGTCTTATGCTTTTTATAGAAAAATTATAATATACAGATAATATACATGTTTTACTGTATATACTGTTTACTATCTATACTGTTACTAATACTTTGACATGCAGACCACACTGGGTTGAGTAAATGATGACAGAATTATACTTTTCGTGTGAATTTGTAATTGTTTACAGCTTTAACATTCTTCAGATTTTTTAATATCCGTTGCTTATGTGTTATATTTGCGTCTCTTGTTATATTATGATGTTCATGGGAACCTATTCATTTCATTCAGTGTTCATGACCCTTCTAATAATACGACAACACAAAAACACATATGTTCATAGCATAGAGAGATTACTGATAATTAATGAACGAGTGAGTGAAAAAGCAGTGAAATATTGTAAT